CTGGATGTCAACATTGAAAATGCATTGTCAGAGCCTTCAGTTTCAGTTTTGTGGCGTTGTGAGACATGCTGGCCGAATTGTTTGCAAATAATATCAGAGTCATCAACAATGTTTCCGTTAACTTTGAATTTAGTCGTGCCAGGAGAATTCTACTTCACACGAGATTTAAAAAGCCGAAGTATTGATAATCCTGGGCTTTTACTACCTGAAGCTTTATTTTCTATATTCGTAAAATACTTGTGTTTAGGTGAAGCAGTTCTTTCGATCAAGTTAAGTAGACTGTGAAGTGCAGTTTTAATTTCATCAGCCTTCTTATAAAAGTTTTAAAGGTATTTTGGTAGCTATTAGCATTAAAAGCCACATGGCCTATAATTGGAGCAGTGCAGCCAAAGCCATATGTCTGGTTGTGGTGTAGATCGGAAAACGTAATGGCAGTATATGTGGCAAAATAGGTTTCCCATGGTAAACAACGAATAAAAGTTTCAGCCCGTTTCCAGGTTTGTTGATCAACGTGTCTGCTGTGGTACATCATTGCAGTTTTAGAATTCAATTGTATGGCGTTTAAACAATGAATAATACTTTGTATTGTTTGTTGAAATCTTCCCATTGATGTGTTGGGGCTGCAACTGGTCAGTCTCTATTCGGCATATGTGCATATTGTGCGTATTGCCTCGATATAGCTTAAATTCACAAGCATGGTACATGACGTACATGCTATGGTACATCATGAATAATACTCAATACAAATCTATGGTAACTCATAAAATACTCTTGACCGATATGAGATGGAGTCTATGTTGATTGTAAGCAATAGATCAAGTATATTATTTCTCCTAGTCGGTTTTCGGACCTGTTGGACCCATCCACAAGTTTCTAGTGTTTCAACTTACTTGTCATATCGACCTGGTACCGGAGTCGAACTACCTGTAATGTTTGATAGATTAAAATCACCTCCGATCATTTTAAAAGTTTGCGGTTGGTAGGAAGCAATGGAAAAGATGTTTGCTAGTAATCTGTCAAACTTAGTATCAGCATGAGGTGGTCTGTATGTGCATCCCACTTGTAGATACATTGAAGATCCACAGATTACAGTAACCAAGGTAGAGTCGTCCATAGCATCGAGAGATTTATCCTCAAATTTGCACGTATGAATGCCCGAATGGGCATACACAATTGTACCGCCTTCTAATCCATAACATCTATCGGTTCTAAAGAAAACGTAGTTATTTGCATGCAAGGAATGATCGGATATTGATGAATTGCACCAGGTTAGAGTTGAATCTAAGTCAATATTTCTAAGAGGATTTACACCACTTACATCGGGATTACTTTCTTCTAGGCTTTGAACTTTAGGAGATTTAGGAGAGCTTATCGGTGGTGGTATATTTGTAAAGTTAGATGTCCTCTTAGAATCGGAATTAATTTTAAGATCATCAGGATTATGATGCGTTTGGAAGTTTGACGCTGGTATTCTGTAGCTATCTCTTCCTGCTTTTCGCTGGCACGGTGTTCTATCTGGTAGAATCTTAATATCCTTGAAAATATGCTTTTGTCTCAATGAGTTGGAGAAGGTTAAAGACTCACTGGAGTCTACAGATGAATTGAATTTGAACAAGATCGGTGAGTGCACAACAGGGTGACTTCTTTTTAATCTTGTGCACAGACATGGTACGTGTGTCATATTGTTGGCTCTAAGTAGACTAGATTTGATATTTTTAAGGGCATATGTGTCGGGCATATTAAACGAAACTGCATTGATAGATTGTCTTATTCTTTTAAATACCTCTGATGTAACACGATCTAAAAGGTTATTTATGTCGTTTATTTCATCTGAAGTCTCTGTGAGGCTGGACGCCTAGAAGCCGGAGTCATGATTTTCTTTCGTGACATGATAAGAAACTGATGTATTGTAGATGGATTAAACAGAATGTTAGAAATAAAAATGAGCGAAAGGATCAATGTCGAGGGTTCGGGTCTAGAAATTAAAACCTATGTTTAACACATGAGTGAATGTATCGTGAGGATTAGTAAAGGTACCAAAAACAAGAAGTGGGAATGGCAGGAAGATAGTAGTAGTGGAGATGTAGTATGTATGTCAGTGCATGTGTGGAGATAAAATAAAATATAAAGGGGCACGTTGTGTAAATTTTAACATATAAATTACACGGGAAGATAGCCTTTTATAATAAATCAGTTCAAAACTTCGATAATTAGTATCAAACAATCAAAGTGGGTAGAGTATGTGGTACACATATAAACTGAAAGCTCCCATCAGAAAAATTGAGAGGTGCAGATATAAGTGGTTCTAAAAGATTATTACCGCTTAAAATTATTGTGTTGCTTTATGACCAAATGTATGAAGCAGCTTTCTGGATAAAATATTCTGTCAAAAACTATGACAGACTCACCGAATCGGACAGGTAATTCCTGAAATTAAAAGAGTTATAGTATTGAAATACGATTTAAATGGCAGTATATAAAATAATGTGCCCAGTGTCTTATCATACACGATTATATATATTCCTTTATATTAGGTAGAGATCCGAATAGATCCTGCAGATACATAAAGTACTTCGTTTATAGCATTCAAACACGATATAGGGAATAAAATGCAAATAGTACATGCAATTCTTCGTCGAATATGATTATATGTGGCAGAGCATAGTTTGATCGTATAGCCAAAGTGGATATATAATTATTTGATTATAAATTAGTGTATGAATATGATCATATTTACCATGAATAAGATAAACTCAGGTCTTATCATATAGCATGAAATTCGCAGTTGAAATATAAAATGTTCAGAAGTGAGTTATTTTCCGTATTTCCAAGAACAAATAAATCATCCAGCTCTGTGAAAATTCTAGAAAAAGAAGACTGAAGGCCTTGGCCTAAAAGTAACATACAGTTCGTAGCGCGCACAACGTGATTCTGAGAATTTGGTCATGTGCTTTAAGCAAATCGATTTTCAAACAAAAACAGTTATTGTGCATTTTTAGGTGTCTGCCAGATAGTGAATGTTTTACAATGGGTAACGATCAGGAATGGTTTTCAAATCCAGTCGCCAATAGTTACCAGTTAGATTGTTGTTGTCCTCATCAGGAACTATGTGCAAGTGAGATGCTCGTCAACTGTTCGGCGGACGAATAATTTTCAAGTCTATCATGTGGCCGAAATGTATTTTGGCAAACTTAGCTTTTCGGATGTTAGTTTGCACGCTTTCGAGAATACAGATGCTCCCATAGTCATTATGGGATGTTAAACACTGCTGGGTGCGCATGGTAATTGTGGTCGAGTTTGGTATAGTTCGGGGTACTTGTTGGGTATCCGTTAATAGTATGGATCGATTAAGCGCTTAATAGTGACCGGGAATAACTTACAACCAGAAAATGAAGTTACGCAAACAGATAATTTGGTATTTTCACCTATTAACCCTCATTTGAGTGTGTCAATTAGTAGATTATGTTTTAGCAGGTCTATACCAATGATTGGCGTGGAAACATCTGTGGCAAAAAAATACGATCAATAGGTTTACGTCGACTCACGTTAAGATAAATATGTCGTTTACCATATATGGTGATTGGTTTCCCATTTGCCACATGTCAGTTAAAAACCGGTTTAGGTAAAAGGTCATCAGAATTTGCTAGAAGAACGCTAACTTCTGTGCCAGTAACAATGAGATAATGAGATTCTGTCATCACGTCAGTGATGTACAACGGACAGCTATGTTCTCCGGCAACGATTGTTGTAAACGTTTGCCAGCTGGGGGTTTTCCTGAAGCTTTATTCGCGTCGGTTGGTCTTTAGCTCAGGAAACTTAAGGGTTTTCAGCGATTCGGAGATTAGTCATACTTATTGTGGAGCCACCACTAATCAGGGTTGTTTGTCTTTCATGATCTAGTGGCAGACCACTTTTGAAAACCCCCTGCAAGGAGTTCGTGAGCGTTTACAGTCATTGTGAATATCAAGGTAATGTGTCAGAGTATTGCTGAGGTCTGTACCGTCATTTCGTGGCGTTTGAGGCCTTCCTCTGACAGAATAGACCCCGGACCTAAGAGTTCTGATGATCGTCATAACCTGATTGGCAGACGTAGCTGATTGGTCTACAGAAATGAGACAAGAGCTGCCTACGCAGGTTGTGGAAGCCTAGATAATAACAGCTGTTTAAGCAGGTATTCATCCAAAGTCCCATGACCATTGACCTCTCACATTCGTAGCAACATTTCTTTCGTTGAGCCATGTTGTAGTTTTATGTCTTGAAAGAGTTGATCTAACCTTTGTTAGTCGGTTGAGTCTCCACTTTTAAAAATAGTCCTTTTTAAAGTGTCGTAAGGTTCCTGAACATCACTAGTAAATATGTTAGGTGTGACATACCTATTAAGATCGCACGAAAGTGCTTTCAGTGCTGAGAGGAAGTGTGCAAATAGGCCTGTCATGACGTGCCAATGGAAGTCAGCTTCTGCATAACAGAACCAAGATTCTATACTGTTGGGCCAGAATGACATTAGCTGAAATAAGGGAGGCGAAAGAGTCTTTATCTTAAATAACTTAGGAGTCTGTTTCGCCATGAATAATATAAAGTAAATCAGTGAACGGGAATAAAGATATTCGAAAATATGAAAACAATATCGCAATACGTAAAAATTAGAATTGTTAATAATAATGCATAATATTTCAACAAGGGATAGACTCACAGTTTCCGGATTGGTGTACCAGATCACGTTGGGTTCACGACTAAAAATGCCATAAATATTCTGAGTTTGACAACACCTTTACATGTAACATCTTTATGATTGAAGTATGTCAACACAGAAAAATCAGAAGTCACAAATTAAGCGGTTCAAAGTTATATTTAAAATGCTTTTGAAATCTCGAGAATCGTTTGAACTAAGCTGACTAACGGTAGAAGGAGATGCGTAAAACGGAGTACCCACTCGTGATCTGCAGCGGATGCATAACCAAACGCCTTCAGTTAGGTGTGTCCAGTAAAACCGATGGGATCAGCATCAATGTCAAAGAAGTAAAGAAATATTCATTTTGTGGACTTGTTTACCGCTACACTCAAAACCTACCACCGAAATAATGCTTACTACACATTCAATTAACTCATTCAACAGGAAACTAAACAATTACAGAATCCTATCAGCGAACAACTAGCACAGAGAGTCATCTTTCTGTCCTAATTCGCAGATCATAGTCTGCAATTAATTGGAGTACTTTAACAGTTTCTGTTGCGGTTAATTTGGATTGGGCACACTTCGAGTTCGTAACCGCAGATTCTGACTCTAAGTCCTTATTCCTCATGTTGACCTGAAATGATCTCTTAACCCTAGTAAATGGGTAATTTGTCTCTAAGTCACTTCAGCATCGCTTGAAGGTAGTCCGTAGATTATAATCAAGTTCCACAAGACTACAGTCACTTGAAAATTATAATCCGTGTTAATGTCAGTCTAAGGAAACGATCATTCACAAAAACGGACTCAAATCATTGTCATCATGTTTTGGATCATTATTCAGTATTGTTTATAAATGTTTCGTAAGGACCCCTTTGCTTGTGGCAACATTCATAGCTTGTTAAATTGGTATGATGTCGCTTACTAGTTGGTAAACTCAATTATCTTAACTATAATTATTATCTCCAATCATTCTTCCGCCTCTTTAGAAAATTACAATTGTGTCTTACAGCAAAAATGTCTCTAAACTTGACCCTATTGATCAGTTTCAACAGGTTTGCATTACTACTTGTCATATTCAGAGTAGTTTTTTTGTACGTGATTTGTTAAAATAAAGCTGTCAAAGTCTCTCGCAAACTTACTAGATCGTTTTAGACCTTGAACAATCAGTGCTGTCAATTTTACACTCGGTTAATAACGATGCACTTACTGTCACAAGACTAGTTTTGTGCTATAGCACATATATTTTAACTTTTTATTAACTCGCGTACTAGGTATTTGGCTAAGAGCCAGGCCGTGTGAGGTCTAGCGATGCAACCTGGTCCGATGGACTTAAGTTGTTACAAACGAGTTCAAACCTGCCACTTATTGGCTAAAAGTCCCACACCCTAACCACTGAACCACCGCTTCAAGAACTCAATTTCCAGTCTTTCTGCAGTTTAGAGCTACAAAGCTTTCAGTTACTCGTCCTTACTAGATTCTGACCTAAAAGCCTACACTTAAACACTTCAGTCTCCAGTAAATATACTCTCAAGAAGCTAAAAATTAGTTGTTGATGAACTCCACTCTCAGTAGTAGTCGCTATGTAAATTATTTATTTCAATAGCAAATGTTTCTCATCGACTTGATGTTTTCGAAACCTGATATCCATGCATATGACCGGAAACAATAATCGTCACAAGTAGCTCTATGATCTCAACTATCGATTGCTCGCTAAGTAACCATCATGGAACTGAATATGTCGGTTCATTTGGTATGCACTCCACCAAGCCATATCTCTGACGAACTACGTGTCAACTAGTCTTAATTAGATTTTGTTAGTGCTCGAGTATCGTTAAATTCCATATCCTAACATTACAGTTAATATAAGGCTCATTTTCTCCACAAAGATGTTGGAGTTGCTTGTTGATAAATCGCTTCTCACTGCTCATATCTTACCACATTTAGCCAACATACCTGATAGTTTTTATTTTAATACATGAAAAATTTACAACAGCTCGATTTATATAATTTCTGTGTTTCTAAGTTAAAATATTTTTCAAAAGGTTTATGGTTTCATTGTATTACGTTTTTAAGGAGGATCGTAGTAGACCAACACATCTTAATCTTAAACAGATTTTATGCCGTAATGTGACACCATGTAAATCAACGTATTAAAGCAATTCTTAATTTGTTGGTTAAGTACATAATGTTTTTATTTTGCTCACCTAACAAGGAATATGACTGACTTCATAGAAGCGGTATCCAATCCATTAGCACCAGATGTGCTTGTGGGTCATGGCGACTTTACTAATCACAAACTATCTAATAGTGATTTTCGAAAATTGTTAATGACACCTAAGCCATCAGTACAACCTTCAAAAACTGATGAAGTACATGAAACTGGGACCCGCATCTCTACTCACCACTTGGAAAGATCCGATCGTATACGCCAAGATCCTAGTCAAACTACCCATCGTAGTAAACATAAAATAAGTCATAAGCGTCATCATGTTCGTAGCAAAAAAGACACTCAAAAACCAGATGTTTCTGAATCAACACATCGTTATCGAGATCGTGCAAAAGAACGACGTGACGGCAAACTAGTCGCACCAACTGAGGAGGTTGAGGAAGAACGTGAAATAGAAAATGATGATGACACTTTAACTCGTACGGCTGACTATCGTGCTGTTGCACCATCGTCTGCTGCTGGTGCTTCGCATGCTGAACGTCGTCGAATGCTTATACAGGAATCTAAGTATCTTGGTGGTGATATGGAGCATACTCACTTGGTCAAAGGTCTTGATTATGTTCTATTACAAAAAGTTCGCTTGGAAATACAAAATAAAGAAATTGAAGCTGAACAAGCACTGGATATTGAATTAAATAAACCAGATAGAATGAAAGAAAGTGCTAATAATGAAGAGGGCATACAGTTTCGTACTCATCTAGCGGCAAATATATGCAACGTTATTTTCAATGAACGTCTCCCAGAACGTAATGAATATTTTCAACCTGGTCGCATGGCTTATCGTATTGAACTGGAAGATGATTCGGTAGATTTTGAAGTACCAGCTACAGTGATTCGTAGCAAATCTGATTGCTTGCAAATTGATGGTCGTGGAACTGGTGCAATAACTACCAATGAAATTGTTATTAATAAACTTACTCAAATATTATCATATTTACGGGCTGGTAAACGACATGCAAAGAAGGCTAAACTTAAAGGACGTGTTGCTGACAGGTCCGAATTTGATTATGGGGATAATCGACATCTTGTTCATAAAATAGCTAGTAAGTTCATTGTTATTAGTTGGTAAAGTTTTTTTTCACTACGAATGTGACCCTCTTTATTGTTAACTAGGGGATGCTGCGTATCAGGATATTAGTCAGTCCTGAAATAAACGATTACTTTAAACCATTCTATCGGGTGTTAATGTAGTGAGGTGAGGTCCGGACTTGTGATCAGCTAAGTGGTTTAATCAGGACTAAACCACCACTGTAAGTGCTAACCATCAAGCTTAATAATTTGCAAATACTTTCTTGGGTGACTGGTGACATTCGATAGAAAAACGTTGTGGTTATCAACGATCATCGGAGAAGTATGTATCAAACTTACAATTATGTCATGCCTTCATCATCCTGCTTTACCGTTAAGAATTTTGGTCTGAAGTTTGAACTGTTCATCTGTAGGAGTTGATTGTGTTAGTGAACTAGTCATCAACAGTAGATTTATACAGTACTCAGATCGCAGTTACTGACTTTGTCAATCAGGTTACTTCAAACCTGAGCATGGATGGTAAGTATTCGAACTCCATCCCACCTCACCAACGTTCACATTTAGAGTATACCTCAAAAACGAGTGTGTGGATATGTACTTCGTAAATGACTCACTTAATATTTTCTGTGTGTCATGTAGTCTTTGTAACTATTAGAGACCCATTGGAATTTACCGTGTTTTGACGTAAATGTATTTAGGTATTATCTGTATTGAATGGCCTAGATTTCTATGACTCATTAATAGCTAATTACAAGCTTTTGCAATCAATTTTGAGTCATACACTTTTTGGTTACTCAAACTAAATTAAATTGGAAATCTAGCGTGCGACCTAATTAAGTGTTCAGTGATTGACCCACCCAGACTGCTGCTTCACAACAACTGTAGTAGTTATTTATATTACCCATATCAATCAGCTCTTCTCTCCCTTTCTTTAGACTCAATTTGTGTATACAGGTACACACTAAAGTATTTGACCTAAGTGACGTCTACACTAATCGTTTCATACATGAGCCGGTTTGTTCTTGGCCATGATGTTTCTGATAGAAACCAGCTTTCTTAATAGTTCAGATGTTAAAAGCAACAACTAAAATAGTTAAAAGGTGGTTAAAGCGAAGAAGTATTTTTTTTTAAAGTTATTTTTTCACTCAGACTCTTCTAATAAGTATGTTTAACAATAATGATGAAATAAGACTAGCGTTACATTTTAGTCAGGAATGGATTGTGGCTGACAGCGGAATCCAGGACGAGCATTTTATCCTACTCTGAGACTCGTCAGCTGGACGTACCTGTGTCCTGTGATGTTCACTCCAGGACTCGTACAAGTGCCGTTCGCTTCAAACACCATCGCGTTATCCACTTGGATATTGAGTCCGGACCACCGTAAGCAACACTATAGTTTCTGCCTTGAATTGTACAATTTAAGCTTTGTTTCACCATTTGAAATGGATTTTATTTTCCAATTAACCTATGCAAATTATATTCATGTGTTGAAAATCTGTACTATGTTTGAAGTTGAGTGGAATTAACTCAAGATTTTATAAATTTGTCAACTGCAGTCTCTTTCTTACTTTAATTATTCTTTTAAAATACTTGTTATATGGTCATAAGTGTGCCTGTACAAGTTTCAGTCATTCAAAGTAAGAAATATGGTCAAGGATTTTAACAGAAGTATCCATCTTCCCAATACTGAAAAAAATACATTCAAGGGCAAATTGATTAATATATTGTTTAATCTACCGTCAAAATGCTTAGCAAAAACTTGGGAGATGAGGATTCTTATTCAAAAGTCTCCTATAGATTGAAATCTTATTGATTGCTTCATTTCGATTTGACTCGGAATCCGCCTCTGTATTCGCTTGTTCGTGCGCACCAGCCTTCTCAAATTCGTTTTGTTTGCTTGTAGAGCATTGTAGTCTGTGCTATCTAATGATAAACTGTGGTTGGCACTTCATGTTTCCTTCTGAATTTGTGCACTGTCGGGATTAATTTAATAAAGGTTATCAGGGTTATTGATAAACTAGGCCTAATGAATTATCTCTAAGCCAAACCACTAAGGTATTACGGACCAAGCATATCTAAATAATCAGACCAAGAGGCGTTGAATACCTGTTTTGGCATAGTATGGGACTTAACAGTAATGCACATTCGCCACCCCACCGGTGATTGGGCTGTAGAACCTTCAGGTCTCGCTTTTCAACGCCTAGTTTCTAAACCACTGAGCCAGCATCCACCGGTGTGTACATCTAACTCCGTCCAATTCGTGATATTAGGCAGTGTATAATTATCACTCATACCCGACATAGTTGTGCTATACTAATCTCAGCTTCTGGGTTCGATCCTCAGTGGGGTTATTAACGTACACTAATGAGGAGTCCCACACCTAAACGAAACACCTGTCCATTGTCTTTCAATGGTTGTCCAACTAATATCGACCTGCCATGTAGACTACGAAGATTATATACTCACTAGTTGACGTTTTTTGTGTACCATATTTTTACATCCCTTCTTGTTCATCGTGATGACGTTCTATACTTTTGTTTACTTTGTTTTTTTTTGCACATTTGCATAACCACATGTCGATCAGCTTTGTTTTAACTAACCATTAATTATGTATAGTTATTTCGGCAAAACTTTCGGTAAGTTTATATGTAATAGTTATGACTGTGTGAACCAATCCGATATAATATAGCCCCTCATGGGTTTGTGCCCGCAATTCAAAGCTCATTAAAAGATGATCACATGCGTATCATTAAAAACTAAGTAAAAATTGTGTTTGTCCAGTTTCTAAAAGTTCGATTAATAAACAGTCATTTGTACGGCGGCACTTTGTGTGTATGTGAACCAAAGCGCAACAAACACCTGAGTCAGCGTGGCCAATAGTGTTTTTATGGATAAAGATTGTTCTAACATTCTTAACTCATATCTCTATCCAAACTTCTAATATATGACCCTAACCCTCTTTCGTTTCGTTCACTGTGATAAATAATCCAATATGTAAACGTTTGTTAAGATATTTGGTGTCCAAGATTTGTATTCTCCCTATACATTGGTTCAACCGACTATTCGAGCAAAAGAAACTGAGAGATAGGGATTTTATCGACTAAGTAAATCGTGCTGTATACGTGCTCATATATAAAAGGCCAATAACGGTGTATGTCTCATTCCTAGAGTATATAACCCATTTCTTGGTCACTCCTGTGCATTTATCATTTGACCGACTTTTGATTGACCCAACGTATTAACGTTCATTAATCATGTGAAAACTTTGTTGGAATTTATTACTTTTTGTTACATATCTTTAGATAATTTAACATTGTTTTAAGATTGATTGATAAGTCACTAAAGGTTGTCAGTATTGTAGTTTACTTTTCTACACGTAAAATGTATATCTTTTTGTTACCTAATTGGACTTGTCTTTTTTATTTGATCACAGATACTGCCATATTTGAAGGTATCGGAAACGATTACTTACCGACAACAAAGAAGCAAGGCAAATGTAATGATAGGACGGATTTACCATATAATGATTCGAGCGTGTCGAATTCACGTAATCGCCTACCCGCTTCTAATACTACTACAGCTGGTAGTAATAGTAACACCAATGCTGAACCAAATAGTGCACAAGCATCATATTTTGATATTCCTGCCAACGCTGATTCAGTCACAAATAGTTCAATAAGTGCTACTAAAGAATTCTTGAATGAATTAAGTCAACGTTTTGATGTTAAAGAGGAAAATAGGCTACAGGAAAAAGTAGGTTATATGTATATATGTATTTATTTATAAATGAGTAAATAAATCTTATGTAAGACTCAAATAAATTAGACTAGGCAATCGATTTCATTAATTTATTTAAACACAAACACTGGTACGAGGAGGCACCAGATATATATGCACCACACAAATCAAATGATTTGTGTGAGGTCCGGGATACTGCCCAAGCTCCCGAACAGAAGCAGATGGTTTTCTTAGGGGTCCACTCCCATAGTACCAGTATGCACAATGTTTATTTTATTTTATGGGACACTAATTGCCAACTGATTAAGTTCGGATTGCATGGCTTGGGTATTATCGCACAGTAAGACAATAGCATCCGCATGTCCAAGGTCGAGATTTATTATTTATTTAGTCACATATATATTGGTACAAATGGCACCGGATACATATGCGCCACACAAAATAATGAGAATGGGAGGAGAAGGAAGATGTGTAAATATAAAAGAAGAAAAAAAGAGAAGAGTAATGATGGGGGGAACGGAAATGTACAACCAAAAGAGCTCTCTCAGTTAAGAAAGTTGTAGCCACTCTTTATGAAGAAAGTAAAAGAAGGTTGCAGCAGGATCGCCACTGGCTTCTATTCTGAACCATATCTGATAACGTCTCTAGCCACTGTGCTGCACCATCTCTCGGACCCCAGCCAGGGAGTCGTGAAGGACCAACAGAAGCTAGCCCTTTGCAGCTTTCTTTCATACCACGACACCATGTCATACACTGACCATCTCTCCGCTTTTTCCAACCAGTCCCAGAGTCGGCAAGTAATGCATGACGTAGAATTCTCTGGGAAGACATTCGTAGAACATGTCCAAGCCATCGAAGTCAGTGTTTCAAGATGGTGACACCAATTGGATTGTTGTCTCTGCGCCTGAACACACGATGCCGAACCTCTGCATTACTAACATGGTGTTGCCACTGGATGTCAGCAATCCTTCGAAGACAACGATGATTGAACACAGAGAGACGTCTAACATCCTCAACTCGGAGAGGCCAGGTTTCACAAGCATAGAGTGAAACTACTCTCACCGACGCGTTGTAGACCCGACCTTTTACAGCCAGATTAACATCACGAAGGCGCCAAAGATGGTCCAGATTGGCATAAGCCGCTCTGGCTTTCATTATACGTGCATCGATCTCATCACTCACGCCAGCACTGATGTAGCTACCTAGATACACGAACTTCTCAACTACTTCAATCTGCTCACCATCTAGGGTGAGTACAGGAATAGAATCCTGCCAGTCTTGTAGGAGTACTTTGCACTTGGAGGGTGCAAAGCACATGCCGTACCTGAGGACACTGATTGCCAACTGATTAAGTGCGGATTGCATGCCTTGGGCATTATCGCACAGTAAGACAATATCATCCGCATACTCGAGGTCGAGAAGTCATTCTCCAGGCAACATATCCACACCGCCATTACTTACATCCATCAGAGCTGTTTCCAGGATGTCGTCGATGGCAAAGTTGAAGAGGAATAGTGAGATCGGGCAACCCTGCCTGACCCCGCTGCTTGAATGGAACAATGGAGAAAGGTGGTTGTATGCCCTCACTCTGCCTGAGGTGTTCGTGTACAGGGCCTTTAAGATGTTAATAAACTTCTCAGGCACGCTCAGACGCTTAATTCCTAGATCATTGATCTGGCATCCAGTAGTATTAGCATTTAATTTTAATGAATTTGTGATATTGCTCAACCTTCATCAATTGTCTGTGATGAATAAGTAGTGGTAGTAGTAGTAGTAGTGTTTAAAGTTAACATTTCATGTTAGTCACCCCAACATTACTAATTTTATGTTGCCAAAAATCCCAAATTCAAATGCTATGGTTTCAAATAACGCATTTTGTCTTAAACCTAGCCATTTTTGGATTAATAATTTGGATGTATAATTGTAGAACTTGAAACAATCATAGAAAAGAATATTCTTTGTTCATATATCTATGTTTGAAGATGTTTTCTTAAATAATTTAGAATAGTTTGTCTTACTATAAGCCTCATTATATAATTCCGCGTGTAAGTTTCCCGTCACTTTCAACTTTCTCAACAAACTTTTCTCAGTAAATTCAGTTTATTCTTAGTGTAAGAGTATGTATGCTTCACATGGCGGATTTGTGGGGATTGTTGGGTTTTCAAAGTTAAAATCACGAACTGGTCCTAGCTAAACCATCATTGAAAACCTGCAAACACTGAATATCTGTTTTAGCCTGTTATGGGACTCAGCGGTGTACATTCACGGGGCATCTGGTAGTCAGACCCCAGGGCCTTCGGTCTCGCGTGTTAAGACTTAGCCTCCAGACCATTTATATATATACAACACCTATCAGTTAAGAAATCGGTAAAATGACATTTCAGGGTAGTTAAAATCTGTGTATGTAACAAAGATGATCAGTTACGAACCATGTAAGTTAACTTATGAGTGTTATTTATTTTCATGTTATTAGTATTAGCGACCACAGCTGGTCAGTTTCTACGTGGGATGTGCGCATCCTGAACATATTGGGTCGACAATGTCATTTAATCACAAGTTTTTATTCATGTCGAACAGTAGCTAGTAATGGAGCCCAGGATGAGCGTTTCGTTCTATTCAGGACGAAGGTGATGAATGAAAGGAGATATTGATCAACAAATATAATGAATCTATACTGTCTGGAGCAGCAACTCGTGATTGCACAATTATGCCCTTTTCATGTATTTATTTTTTAGGCAAGTCTTGAACGATTCTTTGCTAAAACTCAAGTCACGTGTTACGATGAATGTTATCCTGGTTTCGCTGAATCATACGATGCTATGGGTGATTCTGATGATGAAGCTGATTTTAGCAAAATGGATTTGGGTAATAAAAAAGGTCCAGTTGGTCGATGGGATTTTGAAACACAAGAAGAATATAGTGATTATATGTCGAATAAAGAAGCTTTGCCAAAAGCTGCATTTCAATATGGTGTTAAAATGGCTGATGGTCGTCGTACACGTCGTATTGGGCCGAAAGATGAAAAAGCTGAATTAGATCGTCAGTTACAAAAAATACAATCAATCATACAAAAGCGTAAACAATTAGCTGAAGATAGTGGTCCAGTAGGGAAAAATGTTCGATTTTAAAAATTGCTATAATATACATGTACATTTATTTAATTTTTGGTTTTTAATTTGATTCCACATGAAATAACTTCTAGATTCATATATTTGACTTATTTTTACCTGTCGTCCGATTTTTTGTGAAGTATTTTAACTATTGAAATCAGATTGCCGTCAAAATAAATTGGAATCAGTGCATGGAAGGAACTACTCACTTCTCTATAGTTCTTATTTCCAACTTTTTATTGCATCTCTCAGTTCTCAAAGGTCGATACGCTCATTCACTTTTTCAACCATACGTGGGCGAAATGTTCCAAACTTAGGTTTTGCGCTTATCAATAAGGAGTGTTTACAGTCTTGATATAACTAGGAATTCTTGAACTTCTTGTCACCGCTAAGCCAGTCTTTCCACAACTCCTTGTAGGAATGAAATATTTACACTAATTGACAAGAATTCTAATCTTAAGTATATATTGTTAGGTGAAAGGAAAGCTGTATTGTGTTATTTTGATAAGTGCTTACGTTGTATGTGTTAGCAGGATATAGATCGGATTATAGCATACTCCGTGCAGGATTGTGTCGGGGCACTCCAACTAGCCATTTATTAACTGACTAGCGCCAGTGAATACTTGGAAAGGAATACAGTTTTGTGCGGAATTATAAATGTACTGACGTTTTTCTCTTTGTGATTCTTACATCCGCTCAACCTTATTTATTTGGATGTGATTATGTTCCTTTTCAACCGTGTTTTGATTTGTGGACTTGTCAAGTGAAGCTTCCAAAGAATACTCAGTAGCTGAGTCGTAATAAGCGAGTTTATAACAGTATGATAGTAATGTGTTATAATCGAGTTATGCGAAGTTGAGTCAAGTTTTGGGAGGAAGCTGTTTGAATCTGAAGGGGTCTTCTTTTGCTTAGTCCAAAAGGCTTATTTGAAGTTGTATTGGTTTTGATGCACTTGGGTGTCTGAACCAATGTTCTTTTATTTGACTGATGTGATAGCTTTCGTTTTTGTGATAAGTGGTCAGCTACCCAGTTTTTGTATCATAGACTTTAGTAAATGTCATATTTTGGTACAACATACAGTCCTCAGTACATAACCGTTGATATTATACAGGCATTTGATTCGGACTCATATAGACTCCTCTTTGACCATACCTGACAGAATCAAAGTCCGATCGAATGTCTGACCATTTTCTGTCTTCGTTGATTAACAACTTATTGACAGCTTAGAAATACCCAGTCTTGATCTGGCTGTCCTAGCAAACTCATTATGTGATAACCAGTCTAGTCTTCGTGAAGATGCAAATGCAATCAATAAACTAGTGGACCTCATTTCCTATGCAGAACAGGCTACTTAGTAACGGTTACATTTGATTATTATCAAGTTTTTCTAGCGGGTAATTGAAATAGACACCCTACGAAAATGTTTACTAAGTAGTTAACGTCGAGCCAGTTAAAGTATATTGTAAGGAGAGCCTGTGTTGCATTACACATTTTTGCCGATATTAAGGGCCAAATATTTCCAATTTGTGCTTTAATAATGAAATACAAATCACTGCACTTTGGATTTCAAGCAAAATATATCAAGCGTTATTTTATTTGAATCAGGTTATATCATATTCCCGCCATTCGTTTTGACTGCCGATCAGATCCGTGCAGTAATGGTGCATTGTGCGAAATTTCGGGTGGATCTAAACTCAACGTTTCCATGTAAATCTGATGTATCGCCCAGTGTAATGACGGTCATGTTTACGTTCATGCAGTCATTGGATCTGTTATATTATGAAGTATTTTTTATTAAACAACTAGATTATATTGTGAATGTTGCTCTGGTTGTAATTTTTATTTATCACGTCTGCGTTACGCCGGGTGTGCATTGCATTCTGGGATGATATCCTAAGTCATTGTAAGTTTAATCACATCGTTGACTTTTTTTCAAGTAGACCGTCAGTGAATAATGTTACTGGAGAAAGGATTTTTGTTCTTTAAACTATGTTTTTATGAGTAAGCGACTGTTGTCTTCAGTCTCAAAATAATATCGCTTGTCCTCTGTTAGGTAAGTCTTTCTGGTCTATAGTTCGTGTTTTTGGTTTGTAGGCCTAATTATTTGCATTTAACTACTTTGAGTAATATGTCTGTGCAAATGAAATAGTAATTATACTACTGCTTAGTTAAGTATTCTTGACTATCGTATAATTAAGTTTAGTCTATATGATTGTATTATACTTAAGTATAGTGCTTTAAGCATGTAATGAACCAGCTGAGTTTAGTAAGTAGAGCTGCCCACTCATTCCCGTTAGCATGCCCAAGTGTCATGACTAGAAAACGATGTGTGAAATTATGTATATACATTACAGCGTATATAGCTCCAGGAAACTGAAGTTCAGAGCTTAGAATTTATGCAGAATCGGGAGTATGTTATATTGATGTGTCATTAATCATATTCCCACTAGCCCTAACTTATCGCTAATTCATTTTGTTATAAACGTAGGATGCTGATTATAACTCTAGGGTTTCTTGTTGTAACAGTCCTTTCACTTTTTACACGTATGCGGGACGTTAATTTACCTTATACGAGTATCTACACTAGATTCCCGCCCAGTGTCTATTCTACAGGACTTCAACACAACTCAGATCAAGAACACGAGATTAACCTGACTATAACGTCAATATATTTCCACACCGAAATCCGACACAAAGAACAGTCAATACATACTAAAGATAGGGCAATATATATAACACATATAACACCTGTCATCCTATCTAGAGTCTGACTCAGCAAAACGACCAATCATCGTCATTCTCGCCCACACATCACGACAGAAACATTTTGTGTTTGAAATGATAAAGAACGAAAATCTGAAGTATTTATTGCATACCAAGAATCTTAAAGGAACTCCGAAATGAACAGACGTCCTGAAACACAAAACTTTAGAAATGCTTTTACACATAACATTTTTATGATTGAAGTATATCTACCCAGTTGAGTCAGAAGTGAATAGGTTTGAAGATATATTTGGAAGTTTATCGATGCGTCGAGAAGCATTTGGCATAATGTAGCTCACAGTTGGAAAGGGTGTGTAGCATTTCATGCAAACTCGTGAACTGGTGAAGATGTGTGGTCGAACACTGACTAGGTGAGTCTGCAGAATTACGATCTCCTTCTTTATTCGTACTATCATAATAATAGACCTAATCTTAAATTGTGGATGTCACGTCAATGTTTACTCTAACTGGCTGTATCGTAGCGATCTTCGATGTAACATTTGGCGTTTGTGAAGAAAACATTTAGGCTAGAGACAGAATAGTTCATTTAATGTGAGTTATACATATTGACCACATCTGCGAGGCTGAGCAACGCCGTCCTATCTATTTCTATCATTTCCTCTCGCCTTCTCAATTGGTGACCTTAAGGTCAACACAACTTGGTACCTCATCAAAAGAGCACTCTATAAGTGTTACTGTTACATACGAAGTAAGTTATGTTTTTCTTTAAAACTTCAGGAGTAGTAACTAATCGGGTTCCCATCATCACCTGTCGACGAAATAGACCTTGCAAAACTGTACGACATCGCGACGCAAGATTATTTTCACGACATGAGGGGCAAACTACAAAAGCGTCATTGAAGAAAACAAGGACATGTATGTACTTATTTGAAGTGATAACTATTCACTACTGTTCTGTAGGTACAATGTTTAGTGTTAACGAACATAACCGTAAGTAAAACTTCATGTAGATAGTTGTTTAAAGAAAGAATAACAGTTAGATATCGTTGCAATTTCTCGTTTTCATTAAATCTCAGAATTCAAAAGAATATTTTGATCATCAATTGTCAAACAGTCGCTACAAAAATGAATAACCAGTGGAATGGTTTTCATGTTCAAATTCGTTTTCAACAAACAATTTTTTAAACATTCGCTCACTTTCTAACCTGCATGGGAAACTCTTTGACTAAATGTTAAGAAAGCCTGGTTGATTCCAAATGCACTTGTAATAATATAAGAGGCAAGGAAATGGTTTGTGGCCATACCTTCTGCACAAATGAAACAAAATACATTCTCATAAAAGTATGTAGCAATGGAACAATAACCAAACCATTGACACAATTGAGGGCAATATATTCACAGTCAGTATCCTTGACGAAAACCCATGTGTCTTCCTGAATAACTACTGAGAACATTGGTACTCCTATGTCATCAGAGTAGAAATGATCTTCGAAGTAATTGCTTGGGTCTGTGAATAACCTAAATTTCATTAATCCATTCTCCCCTAAATCAGTGAATAAACCTGGTTTTCCGTACCATAAGTCAAAATGCTCGCTTGAAGCCTACCACAAAAAGACACCTTCTCCGCATAAATCTGAGTTGATAGTTTGGCAACAATATACCTTCTATGCAACGATTTCCTAATTCGTTTCATATACGACTCGAGTGAGAATGTTGAAAAACTATCTAAATGTTCATGTGAACAAACATCGTTGGGAAGGTGCTGCAACAAATGCACATTATAAACTTAGTTTTCAGATCCGTAACACCATTCATATTCCTTAAGAAATTTCCGCAAATGCATTTTGACGGGTTCTGTAACGCTATTACGTAATTTTGGCTGTACGAGCGAATAAATCGATAATTAATTGGAAGCACTTAAAGAATGGAATGGCCTTAATGGTGAATATGATGAATCTGCTGATGAAAGCTATCATCAGATCGTAACGTACATTCACCAATTGGAAAAGTCATTTCTTCGTCAAGTAGTCTAACAACTACAATACACCTGTCGCAACCTGCTTTTCCATAGTGATTAAGCTTGCATGTAACATCGAAACGAGCATTTGTATCACAGGCTTCAGCGACCAGCTTGATATTTACGTATTCGTTGAACTTAGCATTACGCACTTAGCAGACTCACTTCAATCATTTCTTTGAACTCAGAAACGGTGTACGTATATGCTTTGTTGAATTCTGCCGGCTTAGAATTCTCTTCATAGATCCCTATCATGAACATGTCACTAAACCTTGAGGCAACGATCCATCCTGATACAGGCCATAAATGTTGACTAGAGCTCCTTGAGGTAGAAAGTCCATCCACACAAATATGCTGTAGGGCCAGTGAAATGTCATTCAACCCTAGCCAAATCATCCGGCAGTTGGGTCATTAAATATCGAACAAATCATCGATCCCCGATAAGTTCAAGGACAATCGACATGGCAGTGGTTCTACTCTCGCTTGTATCTACTTTAACTAATATATTATTGTAATAACGTCCTTTGTGTTGTACAGTCTTCAGAGTATCCATGGTCTCTTGATACGTCGATGGGGCGATCCATGTAAGGTGCTGATCGCTAGGTGTGACTTCGAAGTCAGCTTGATCGTTACACCGTTCCCGTCTAACTCGAGTAGGCCTCCAGTCATTTCGACATAGATCATCAACGTTGATGGTCTGCAATGCAAATCTAAAGTATCAAAGTTAGAAATACACAACCAAAGTTCAACGTATATTAGCAGATTGGTTTTCATTTCGAGATGATAGTAAACCCCATTACTGATGAACTTCAGTCGGATACTTGCGAACGTTCTCAGGACGCATCTGATGATGCTCAGTAAGTCCGGAACCAGACCTCGGAAATCATTCAGAATCTGATTAACATCTCTGATGATTAGACAGGTTTTTGTCAGTAAAATCATTAATAACTTGTTGATATGCTCTTTATGATCTACGAACTTCTGAGAGCACAAATAAACATCATTACATCTCAAAAGAAATAAATCAGCGAATTCACTTCCTACATGTACCATTATCATCCAGAAGCCTTTCATTGCTGTAGCTACTACATGCTGTAACAGTTGATGGAGTATCATTACAATTAATTTACGTGTTGACTACTATCAATTCAAAATAAATTACTGTTAGCGTCAGTTACCTTTGATCGTGCCTTCATTAGCGAACTGACTAAACGAAAACAAGTTATGTTTTTTCACGAAACCCGATCGTATTTTATTTCACCGTCTGTTGTAAGTCTATCTATTACAGTCAAAGAGGCTTGATAAGTTCGCAGTTGCTCCAAGTCTACGAGCTCTTTTACTGACCTTAACTCAATTAATCTTACAGGACAAACAAGTAATTAGTGATAACGTTAAAAAAACAGAGAGCACGCCACTAAATTGCATCACTTAAGCTATTTGTAGTGGCCAACGTGTACTTCGAAATCCCTCTGCCTACATTTTCTTGCGTTAACGGTGATTGTCTTCCTTCTTTATTTAACATTACGCTATTTTGTAAAAGTTTATGAAAATGTAGGTAAATGAAGCGGCATATTCAAAAACGGTAAGTTATGTACACTTGTCTGCAGATTTCCACCAAATACATGATACAAGGGGAAAAATCGACATTCCCTCTAAATAACCAACGTGAATGAATAAATTCGGCATTTCCTCTTTATTTGTGTTTTTGTCCGCATTTCCCCCTTGGTTCGCCTTTATTTTCCTTCTATTGGTTGCTTGGGTTAAAATCCAGACAAATATTTGTCTGGAATTTATAGCCGTTAGTGATTGACGAAATTTATATTCTTCAGTCGGGCGGAATTGTGTGACAATGAAAATAAAAACAATTATAGATGGGGATATATGTATGTGTATGTTACGTTGGGCTGTAAGCACTTCATACTAGCCCGCCAAGAGTATCTTAGCTCATTTCTAATTTTTTGATCTGTCAAGAAGCAATGATCTTACATTTTTTGATTGTTTTGTGGTCGATCGCTTGGATTACTCCGTGTATCTATGCTTAATTCTGGTCCCTACATTTTCGTACTAAATCCACATAATGAAGACTAATGGCATTCATTATTTATGCGAACGTGATGCAGAATTTTATTTGGTCTTATGCTAAATTACAACTCTCAACCCGTAGGTGTTTTTCAAACTAGACTGCTAGCTATGGAAAATTACTGCCCGTAAAGCACTCTCACATGTTTTATGAATATCGATTACTCTTGAAGATTTTACTTATGTTCCTAGTTCAATTTTCCCTTGGTCTTCAGCTTAGTCTGTACTACATATTACGTCGTGACGTTCGGAGATGTTACTTCAAGGTTTTATTAAAGGTGCTCTGCGATACAACCGTTCTTCTGTCTCAAACTTATGTCGTCATTATGCAGCTCATGTGCAGCGTCCAGCTCCCGACTTCTGCGGAACAGCGGTGGTGGATGGCCAATTTAAAGAAATAAAACTGAGAGATTTTGCTGGAAAATACTTAGTCCTCTTTTTCTATCCTCTGGATTTTACTTTTGTGTGTCCAACTGAGTTAATTGCATTTTCTGACCGAATTGATGAGTTCAAAAATGAAGGAGTTGAAGTCGTCGGCGTTTCAACTGATTCACATTTCAGTCATCTGGCTTGGATAAATACTCCACGTAAAGTAGGACTATTTGGTTCTTGATTAATAGGTTTATCATAATTGATGAAATTACGAACAGTTAATGTAGGGTACTTTCGTAAATAATTTTAATACAGAGTAATCCAAACTGGATTTTGATTTACATTAGTTCTGATAACAGAATTCAGCCAGTTTAAAGTATTGTGGAGGATCTTCGTATTATTTATGTGTTTTTATTTGAACAAGGAAACACCATGTATATATGCGCCACACCCAAAATTGTCATTTCATTTTGATTATGTGAGGGCTATGATACTGCCCGGGTGCCCAACACCGTCGCCTCGAGAAGGTAGTGAGTAGGGCTTCCCTGGCAGAGGCTGTATACGCGTTGCCGTGTGATGGCATTTCAAGAGAGAGGGCGAGCCCTCCCCACTCTTGGCTGTACCGAGGCATTAGTATTTTTATGTATTTCTTTTCACAACAGATTATTCTGTTTGGTTTAAAGGTTACGATGTTCCTAGAACAGAGTTCAGTCTTTCCATACCTAGATTGTATTAACTTCCCAGTTAATTCATGTAGCGTATGATAAACAGTGATTACAATGTAAAGATATGAGTAATTCATCACAAAGCTAAGACAGTATATCCCAGCGATTCGTTTTCTGTAGACAGTTTGGGAGAACGAATCAACTCATGAATTCTATTTTGTGTAAAAAAAAACTGGGTTGTATGCGTATGAAACCCGAATAGTGTTACACATATGAGCTCATTCCTAACTAGCAGTTTTAGTTTGTAATATATCACCAGTACTCTGTTTATTCAGTGTTTTTAACGAGATCTAGAAATATCACCTACTTAAGGTTTTTGTAAGTTGCCATAATTCCTATTCATCCGTGATTTTAAAAACGATTTTGTTCTTTTGATCAGGAAGGTGGTTTAGGGGGTCTACGCTATCCACTCTTGGCGGACTATCAAAAACAAGTTACACGCGATTATGGGGTCCTTCACGAAGAGTTAGGTGTTGCACTTCGCGGTTTATTTATCATTAGTGCTGATGGTATAATCCGCCAGATTACTATTAACGATCTTCCTGTTGGAAGATCTGTTGATGAAGTTTTGAGATTGGTCAGAGCCTTTCAATTTACAGATAAATATGGTGAAGGTAACTTTCTGGGATCATCTTTACTTGGTTTACATACATTCATTTTATTATAGAGCTAAACCCAGTCAACAAAACCCGTTAACTCAAAATAATTGGAAATGGTAGTTCGAGAATTATTCAAAATGTTTGCATTTACAGTCCACTGATCTTCAAACCATCTCTGTTTAGCCTTAAAAAGATCTTCCTTTGAAATTATTTAGTTACGATTAGGGCTTGTAATTGTTTTGACCTAACGATCTTTATATGTTCACTAACTAAAGTATTAAGGAATATGAACAGCACGATAATACAGATCAATCTAAAACTCTCCCACTGAATAAGAAAGGTGGTTTTCTTGTGTTTAACTCACTATAGTTCGGTCAGATTGTTAATTTGTATTAGTACAATCAGTATCTAATCATTCACTGGTGTTTTTGTCGCAATTTAACGTCTTTGTTGGTGTAACAATAGATACTAGCTTGGTCAGCAATACTATTAATAAGTGTTTCTGTTTCTAATCGCCGTATGCACAATATTATGAATTAATTAACGCTAGAAATATGAAACGCTGAATGGTCGCAAGACCTGAAAGTTCTGTAGTCTAGTACACCAATTTAGGTGCTAAGATGCATTTATGCAGCTATACCTCAGGAGTTTGGAAATAACCGGATATGGTCCATAATTTCTCGAAGTAATGGAGATCAGCCATTGAAAAGCTTCAGTCTGTTACAATAATGCAGTTACATTCACTCCTAATTTCACGTCAATCAGCTACTATATCATATGTATTCGTATTAGCGATCTTACATATATCATTTTTTAAATAAACTTCCACATTTCCATAAAGTACTGTTATCCTTCACTGATTGTTTACTTTTTATCTGCGATTACCCGTTTGTTTTAGTTTGCCCAGCAGATTGGCAGCCAAAAGGTCTAACAATAAAACCAGATCTGAAAAAGTACAAGGAATATTTTCATAAGGTTAATTAAATGTATCATAGTTCCCTGTGAAGTCATATTTAAACCTGATACAGACACGTTGGTTCATATTCAGAATTACTATACGTAGTACACTGGTATTCTTTATGTAGTAACAGTGTTTATGAACTCATATTTTCTTTTTATGTCTTCTGTAATTTCCACGATTATATCGAGTACAAATGTCAGAAAGTACAAGTTTTCAAATAAATATTATTCTAGCATCATTGCATAAGATCGTTTGTAAAAGAAATATTGGGAAGGAAAATGATGATCCTAAGTGAGTGAGATATTAAGATGTAACTGAAATTACCTCTGTCAGGAAGAATATTATGCATAAAATATCTTGTGACACTGTTTGACCTTTGAAAATGTTGTGTTCCATAAACAGAGATAGTTGGTGGCTGACAATGAAGTCTAGAACTCAGGTTTCATCCAATTTGGTACTCGTGAGCTGGATGTACTTGCATCCCAGAGTTAATGTTCATTCCCGAAACTCGACCCAGTACCATTCTCCTCGAACACTCGCGTTATCCATATGGTTGTTGTATTATTTAGTTTATATACGATGAAGAGCAACTAAGTAAAGTTAACCCTGACCTTAAGACGTCGATTTTTCAGATATGAAGTGAGCCAGTGAATTAGAGGGTATTGATACCAATCGTTTAGGCTTATTGATAAGACATATATGTCTGACCCTATCAAAAGCTTTTGAGAAATCAAGTTAAGTGATGTCAACCTTCCCCTTGCGATCAAGGATGGCTGTCCATCTGTCCACCGCAGTCAGCAGGTTGGTTATCCAAGGGTGACCCTTTCTGAAACCATGCTGTTAGGGTGAGAACTTTAAGGATAATAAGTAGTGTATACCGCGGCATATCAGGGACTCCATAATTTTGAAGGTATAGGGTGAAGGGTCACCGGTCGATAGCTTGAGGGTTTGCCGCGTCGACCTCCTTTGGAAAATGGTGATGTTAGCCAGCTTCCAAGTTTCCGGTAGTTTGCCTTCGACTTAGCGAGTGTGAGAACTTCACGCTAAGAGGTGTAGCCAGGACTGAAGCTGCTTCCCTCAGTATAGCAGAATGAACCATATACGGACCTGGAGAAGTGTCTTTTTTTAGGTGCTGCAGTTTACGGAACACTAGGCCAGCGCTCAGGTTCACTTCGGAAAGTCCTGTGCAGTTGCCGATGAAGCTTTCATCAGTGTAGTTGATGTGAGTCGGCTGAAATATCCGAGGTATTGTTCAGCTAAGGGGTATTCGATGTTGAGTCTCGTTGCTAGCTATCGAAGTTGCTTTCAATTGGTTAGCATGGCGTACCCGAACTTCTGTGTCAAATGACACCTCATAAACCACATTCCCTTTGGAACGATCCAACCAACTGTCCATGTAGGATGTTTTCCTCGATAGTCCATAGCAAGTACAATCGTCCCATGTTGTCGGTTGAACTGCTTCTCCATCGATACGTTTCTTTGAGGCTTAAGAGCTGGCATCGGACGGATGACATCAACATGTGTTCGTATTTTTCTTTTAGGTAGAGCTTCTACTGGAGAGACCCCGTCAATCGTCTGAGGGTTCGGTGTAAAGCGATAGATAAGCAGAAACCTCTCTAAGATCTCTTCGGCGCCACCCACCCCTTTAGATTTTTCAGAGCATATTTAAATGTACTAACAGAGCGTTCCACTTGACCATTGGATTGGGGATGGAATGGAAATGTTCAATCATGAGTGATTGTGATGTTTTCAAATATTTGAATTATAGTATAAACTAGTAATCCCAGAAACAACGCAATTTAATCAAGAAGTATTAGATGAGCACGAACGGATGTACTGTATTTGGAATTCAAAACCAAACAGTCATCAATACAAAAGAATCATTGGTTCATTCAAACACCAAAGTGATTCCGTTTTGCCAGCAAAATTCTGCGAAGACAGCGGACGTAAACTGTGTTCCTTTGTCGCTAACTATAATTCTTTGGACCTAAAAAATTCTGAATATCTGACGTAGCTTTTTGACTGCAACTTTAGTTGAATGTTCCATGAGAATAATTTCTGACCACTTGCTGTCTGCATCGACTACCAGAAGGTAATTTCGTCCCTAAAGTGGACCAACAAAGTCCAAGTGCATACACTGGCACGACAACCTTGCACCAGGTATTTTTGCAAGTATTGAGGTGACACATTACAGGCACTGTTAATGGGTATATCCATTATTCCAAGTTTTTCTAAAATATATAAACCAAGGAGATCAAGGTTTGGCCGTTCAGTCAGATAGCATGTCCCTTTACAGTTAGTTCCATTGTAGGAAAATTCACAAAGTAATTTGCCAGTAAGTTTTAGTACACCTCCTGATGAGTTTTTAGCGGTTTCCTTCGACGGCTTCATTGGCAGCTTTCCCTGCAAGTTATACGTTTTTCTGGATATCAGGGTGATGTCTGAAGACGAGCTAATATGTCGTTTATCTGGATAGTAACATACTTTCTCCGAATGTTAGTGTGTTTGAAAGGCGGCTACCAGAGAAAGAGATTTAGACTCGATTGATTTCACAACATGTCGAGGACATTTACACTTCTTCTTTGACCAGGACGCACGATTCAGTGGACAATGGCCTTCTTTCTGTCCACGTCTGTTGCACCCCTGACATTTATGCCTATTAAATGGACAGAATCGTACATAATGTCAATCACTGCATAACCAACAGGCAGTCGTTGGTTTGTTACAAGTTTTAATCGGCTTCTGAACTATAAACCTAGTAATAACATTGATACTACTGCAGGTTAAATGAAGATAAACATGTTCAATTAACTCATTGTCGTATCCGAATACAGAGGGTAGATGGAAGTAAGAAGCACCATAAGAAAGACGTTAGTATATTTATAGTTTCTACATGAGAAGATTCTAGAGTCTTCTCCAAACATCGACTAGCGCTGATTGAATAAGAATTAGCCAATCAGCCTGCACCAACGCGATTGTGTATGGAACATGCTTTGATGCAATCTATGTCTCACTAACAGTTACTTGATAAGGTGTTCAGATAACTGGACAGTGAAGCGTATACCTGTAAAAAAGAAGGTTGAAAAAACAGACAAAGGTTATGAAATATAACAACGAATCAAATCTCTTTTTCTGGCTAACTCTGCCAAGCAAGAGATAAAGGTGTTACAAATTTCTAATGAGTACAATGATTTTGATAGTTAACTCGGGTTCTCACGGCTTCTGTTTTGTGTGAGAGACTAGATCGAACCTCGAAAGGAAACCTAATAGGAATCCAATAAATCACTTTAAGTGATCTATTTCTGTCTGCAGCATGACTGCTGTTGATCAAGTGTGGTAGAACAGAGCTGCGTATTGTTTTGACGATACCCTTTTCTAAGCACGATAGCAGGTGTTCACTAACTCGTTGGCTCAGCTGTCTGATTGTGCGCCTAATATAGCAGTCTCCGTAGGAGCAGCTGAATTCGTAGATACACATGGATGTGGCAAAACCAGGCAACTATAGTCTATTTGGGGAACAACCATAAGTCGGCGGGGGAACGATAGAAAATTGCTGTATCAAGCGCTTGCTTCATAACTCTATTCATTTTATATGGTAGTACGTGAGCTGTATCTCCATTGAATTGTAGCTTCAGGAAGAGATTTTCTACTACCGATTGATGTCACTACTTTCCTATTCATTATGCCCAAGTGTTTCTTCGGAAAATATTGTGAATAACTACGGAGGGCATAAATCTCATTAAAGCATGTTCTGTTCAGAATAGTGTTAGGGCACGCTGGTTGTAATTCCTACTTCCATTTACCCTTATTATTTTGAATATAATTTCGTTCCTGTTCAACCGCATTCTGACTTGGGAACCTTTTTAGTGAATTAGTATCTAAAATACTAAGCAACAACGCTAGCTGGGTTATAACGAGAGATACCATAACCATAGCGACGAGGAAAAAGGAAGACGCATTTATTTATTATGCCGGTATTAGATGAACACCTCGAACGAACGCGCTACAACAACAGAAAACACAACTTGGTGTGTAAATGCAGACACCAGGAACCGACGCAACAACCATTGCACGAGTTCGTAATCTCTCGACTAATTCTTGCAATGCAGTTGCCAGCATCATTCCAGAAGTCAACTGTCACCTCGAAAGTGAAAATACATTACTCACATGATTCAAACATTAGGAAGATACATTCAGAATGGGATTCTGAAAAAGAGATAACATGTGGAAGGCTCAGTTGTTGATATGTAAGTTGGGAAGTATTGAACATGCTCACCCCACTGACCATATATCGCCGAAGTGACTTCAGGAGCTCAGTTTCGAGGAGACAGTAACACGATTATCAGAGATGTTAAGTGAATCCTCTTCATTGTTTAGCATTCGATATCAGTGTCTAAATTTAGTGAGACTTTTAGCCAATGAATATGGTGCTCTAGCAGTCGTGGACAACAGAGAGTGTGAATAGTCCTAGTTACGTTCGTTGACAGAAGACCAATTTAAAGGCACTACCTCGCGTGTTCAAAAATACGTCGCACCCAGAATGTGTAGCAACCTAGATTCATTTATTAAGAGTTGCCCTCAAACAGCTAAGTATGTATCATAACAATAGAGCTCAAGTATTCGTTCACTTCCTCATTTCATATAGTCATTATATTTCCTATTATCTTTTACTGAATGTTGAAGAGCTTTGTGTGTTTGAATACGAAACCTCCGCAACACTGTGACTGTCCCACGAGTTGAATAAAGACCTGTTCACTACCAGTCTGGTTTCTTCTATCAACAGAATGAGGGTTACCTACTGGCACGAAATATGTTAACTAGTGATGTTTTCGAACCTTCTAAATCTATAAAAACTTCTATTCCTAAACGCAGAGATCTAACTGATCGACGAAGTTTATATCAACTCTTCAATCACATAGATCTACAACATAGCTCGGCAACAGACATGTTTTTAAAAATGAGAGTGGTCATCGGTCAACAGACCTTGGACGACGGCCTGTTCAGGGAGCTTTTCTTATCTTAGCTCTTTCAACAGGCGTAGGCAGTGCTTGTTTAATTTTGAGACAATGCTGAACACGAGCTAGCTGCATCTGCCGATCGAATTCTGGAGATCACCAAAATGTCTAATGCCGAGGTTATCTTCAGCCAAAGAAGAACCTCAATCGACATGAAACGACGTTACGAAACACTGTCATACTCTGACACGTCACCTTAGTGTTCATCATCACCTTAGACGAGTTCA